TCGCCCATCGATGGACACTTAGGTTGTTTCCATGTCTTGGCTGTTGTGAATAATGCTGCAGTGAACATGGGATTACAGATAGTATTTTCATTTCCTTTGGCTAAGTATCCAGAAGTGGGATTGTTGGATCATATGGTACTTCTGTCTTTAATTTTTGAGGCGCCTCCATACTGTTTTCCATAATGACTGTACCAATTTGCATTCTCATCTATTGTGTACAAGGATTCCCTTTTTTCCATATCTTTACCAACACTTGTTACCTTTTGCCTTTTTGGTAACAGCTATTCTAACAGGTATGAGGTGAGATCTCATTATGGTTTTGATTTGCATTTCCCTGATGATTGATGTTGAACACCTTTTTATGTACTTATTGGTCATTTGTTTGTCTTCCTTGGAAATATATATTCTTCTTTGAATATATATTTTTGAAAGAAATTTCAAGGGATCAAGTGGCAAGGGACCTCGAGAGAGCCTTTTGCAATAATGTTCTATATCTTCATCTTAGTCGTAGTTACATGGGTGTATTCACATATATAAATTCACTGAGCAGTGAACTTAAATTAATGACTTATTGTATGTAACTTACAGATCAATAAAAAAGAAAAAAAATCCTTACTTCATTGTACTTTTTTTCATTTTACTATAGACTAGGGTAACTGTTTCAGACCAGCACTGATCTGACAACCACTGATCTCGAGATAAAAGCTTACTAGATACAGAAAATTCCTTCACAGTCTAGTCCAAGTTTTCTTTCTCTCTGCACCTCCTGCACCTTCCCTTCCTCCCCTATTTTGTATATTCTTGGTGCAGTTCTCAGACTCACAAGACTTTTTTATGTATGTAGCATTTACCAATTTTTTTAATTCACTTTTTAAAACTTTTTATTTTAAAATGGTTATAGACTCAAACAAAGTTACAAAAATACCATGTACTCTGAATCCATGTACTACTGACGTACTTTCCCCTGGTAGTGACATATAGCTGTAGGACCATATCAAAAGTAGGAAGTTGACATTCATTAACCAATTTTTAAAATTCCCTGTGCTGCCCAATATGGTAAGCACTAGCCACATGTAACTATTTAATTTTTTTTTAAAGATTTTATTTATTTATTTGACAGAGAGAGACACAGCGAGAGAGGGAACACAAGCAGGGGTAGTGGGAGAGGGAGAAGCAGGCTTTCCGCAGAGCAGGGAGCCTGATGTGGGGCTCGATCCCAGGACCCTGGGATCATGACCTGAGCCAAAGGCAGACGCTTAATGACTGAGCCACCCAAGAGCCCCGTAACTATTTAATTTAAATTACTTAAAATTTATAAAATTAAAAGTTAATTCCATGGTCTCACTAGCCACATTTCAAGTATTTAATACCCACATGTGATGAACAGTGACCATATGGACAACACAGATATAGAATATTTCCACTGCACAAAGTTCTTTTAGATAGCCTTGATATAGACAGTGTTCTTGAGGGAAGACCTGCCTTTTTCATCTTTATATCCGTAATTCCTAGGCAGTGTGGGCACTCAGTCCACACCTGAATGATTGATTGGGTCTAGTCCTACCCTCTTGTTTTACATGCGAAGAAACTTGGGCCCTAAGTTGTGATAAATAAAATGATACCTAGCTTTTGAGTAGCACATCTAGAATGAGAGCTCATTTTCCTAGTTCCAGGTTCACTGTTCTTCCCATGTGGACTCATTGGTTTGTAAACTCATTGATTTGTATCAGTTTTAGAGGAACAGTATTAAAATAATGCACTTCTCAAACTTTACGGTGCAGAAAAATCAACTAGGAAGCTTGCTAGAACATTATATTTCTGGGCTTGTCCTTCCTAAGATTCCGATTCAGTAGTTCTGGGGTGAGGCATAGGAATCTATATTTTAAACATATGCTTAGTCAGTACTGTGTGTTAGTAACAAAAGGATAGCTCAGAAGAGAGAGCAAAAGAACAGAGAGCCTAGAAATGGAACTGCATTAATATGGACATTTGATTTTTAACAAAGGTACCAGTGAAGAGAGGAAATCTTTTCAACAAATGATGTTGGAACAACTATCCATATGGAAGAAAAAATGAACTTTAACCCCTACCTCCTGCCTTACATAATATGGATCATTGTTCTAAATGTGACAGTATCATAAACCTTGTAGAAGCAACTGTAGGAGAATATCTTGGGGATGAGTAAAGGTTTCTTGGACAGGCCATAAAAGGAATCATCATAAATTAAAAATTGGTAAGTTTTACGTCATCAAGAGCTTTTGCTTACCAAAAGACACAATTAAGAAAATGCATAGGTAGATCACATAATGGAAGAAAATATTTGCAAAATATATTTCAGACAGAGGACAGGTATCCAGAAGATACAAGAAGTCAGAATATATGAAGATTTTTCTTTTTTTTTTTTTTAAGATTTTATTTATTTGAGAGAGAGAGAGAGACAGTGACAGAGACAGCACAAGCAAAGGAGGAGAGGGAGAAACAGGCTTCTACCGAGCAGGGAGCCTGATGTGGGGCTCGAGCCCAGGACTCTGGGGTCATGACCTGAGCTGAAGGCAGACACTTAACTGACTGAGCCACCCAGGTGCCCCTATGAGGATTTTTCTGTTAAGTCAATAATAAAAGGATAAACAGCTCAATTAAAAGACTGGCAAAAAGATAATGAGCAGACAAAATAAGATCTACAAATGGTTTTAATATGTACATAAAAAGTACTCTATATCAGTCATCCAGGAAATGAAAATTAAACTATAATGAGATTCCACTGTATAACCACTAGAATGGTTGAAATGAATAGGCAGACAAAACCCAATGTTGGAAGGATATGGAGCAACCAGAACTCTTAAATTTTGGGTGAAGTGCAAAATGGTACTGTTACTCTGGAGAAAGTATGACAAATGTTCTCCTAGAAGTCTTGTTTGTGGATATACTTTTTTATTTCTCTCGGATAGATACTTAGCAGTATCTACCTAGCAGTAGAACTGCAGGGTGTATAATAAGCATTTCCACTCCTAGATATTTACTCAACAGAAAGAAAGACTATATCCATGAAAAATGTTACAGAAGAATGTTCATGGATAGCAGCTTTATTCATAGTAGCCAGAACACAGGAACAGGCCAGGTGTTTGTTCATCAACACCTGAGCTATAAACTGAGCTATAAACTCCCACACAGTTATACAGTGTACTCAGCAATAAAAAGGAATAAACTACTGGGTGAATTTCAGAAACATTATGCTGGGTGAAAGCTTGACACAACAGAGTTCTCAGTTAATGCATTATGAAGTTCAGTGGTGAAAAAAATGAGAACACTGGTTGCCTCTGTGGGAGTAGGGGAAGGTATTGATTAGAAAAGGTCATGAGAACTTTCTCTGGTCATAATAATGATCTGTACCGTGATAGGGGTTGGGTCACACAGGTGTGTGCATTGGTCATAACTCACTGAATGTTACACTTAAGATTTGTGCATTTTACTATAATGTAAGTTTTACGTTGAGGGTCAAAAACAGTTTTAAAGTTATGATTTTGATGCCAGTGATCTCAAAACCATCAAAACCACACTTTGAGAACCATTGGATTTGACTTATTTCAGAAATAATTCTTTCTTACCATGAAAAATAGTAATTCATAGGTTACTAATGTAACATTGTGAAATTTTGCCTTAAAAATTCATGGCACTTTAAATATTTTAAAAGGTATATTTGTAAAAGTAACATTTCCTTATTAGCAGGTTAATGAATCAGTGGACAAGGATTTATGACAATATTATATAGTTTATTATTTTGATAGGTGTTCTTTTTTAATGTGAGGAATGCAATTTTAATATCAGGAGTGGCATATGGAAACAATTGTGCATTGATGTAATTGAATTGGTTAAAATGTGGTTTGAGATGGATATTTATAGTGACATTTGGTAAACTGGATGATATATCTCTTTCAGTTAAACCCCTGCCTCTCACCCCCACCCCCATGCAATGAATAGGTTTACTTATGTGATAAGCCTCTAGCATCATTTCCTTTAAGATTCTAAATGTTTAGAAGATTGGAACTTTTACTTCAAGTATCTTAATTGGAATATGAATCTGCAAACTTTCAAAAGTGCTCCAGAGGAACAATGGGAACTGTGACATTAGTGACCAAATGCTGACTCATGGATACACGAGAAATCTGACCTTAAGGGTTTATAGGTGAAATTATATGTTCAGCTGTCTTGCTGTATCCCAAATAATCTCTCCTACAATAGGCTATCAGTCAAATGCCTGAAATTCCACCAACTAAAGTTACCTGCTTGCCTTTCTAAATTTTCCTGATAAGAATCCCCTGGGGGCATCATTAAATTTCAGACTCCTCCCTTAAAGATTGGAATTCCTCCATCAGAGACTGATTCAGTGGGTCCAGGATGGGCGGACAATGTGTAGTTTTTAACTAGTACCTTGTTGAAAAAACAGATTCCTGGGCTCTACCTGGGCTTCTCCTTTGTCTGGGAAGAAGCCCCCAAGTCGACATGTTTTAGAGCATACACGATGCACAGGCCTGAAAGCTGTCTTCTAGTGTCACTGCCCTCGGGGGGGGGGGGGACACCCTTGAGTAAGTTCTCAGTCACTATCACAGGAGAGGAGAGGGAAGTAGGAGATTGAGGGAAGATAATTTTAGAATTGAGGGCAGATCTTGGTGTAGGTGGAGTAGGTGGAGGAAAGTAAGAACTTGAGGGACAGTGAACAGCATGTCAGAGACTAAGGAGAGAATCTCCTGGGAACCATCCAATGGCTGTAGTCCTTGCTACCATTTTTTTTTGGGGGGTGGGCATTGGGGACATGGGCAACCCATTGGAGAGTGACTTTTTAAAGCAACTACACTCATCAGCTTTCAAGTGGTAGGGAGAATTCAAGGTCATTCTGTATGCCACTAAAAATCTGCCTACATGCCAGAGGTTGCCAGTTGTTTTACATGCTGCTAATGGAAACCTAGGAACTATAAACATTTATTGATTTTTCTCTTGTACAGTAAGAAGAAAACATAACTTATAGACCATCTTCTGGCAGAAGATGATAGATTTGGATCAGAAACGGGAGGCGTTGGAAGCCAGGCATCAAAAGTGAAGAAATTTTGCAAGCCCTTGGGTGAGAAAGGTGACAGGGATTTATTTATTGACTCACCTGTCCCACTTTGTCGTTATGTGGTTATCTCATTGTGAGTGTGTTGCTTTGAGGCTGATGTGTGCCATCCCCGATGTTAGGGAGAAGGTGGAGTCAGCTGCTGGAAATGGGTCTTGAGTGCACATTTCTCTGCAGGCTGCTTCGGCCAGTACTTCCTGTCATTACCTTGTCAGCATTCACTTCTGCTTACTTCCCTGGACCCTTCCTCCCCCTTTCCAGGGCTAGAGCCAAACCTGAAATACTGCCATTATTATTCATGGCTAACATTGGTTGAATTCTTTTTGCTCCTAGGCACCGTGCTGCTGTGTTCCCGCTGCATTTTTCATTCCTTTCTCAAAATAACCCAATGGTCTAGATGTTTTGATTATGATCCATTTTGTAGATGAAACATCTGAGATTCCAAGAGGCTATCTAGCTTGCCCAGGACCTCACGGCTAGGAAATGGCAGAACCAGATTTTAAACTCATGCTTTCCTTCCTTCTTTCCTTCCTTCCTTCCTTCTTTCCTTCCTTCCTTCCTTCCTTCCTTCCTTCCATCCTTCCATCCTTCCATCCTTCCATCCTTCCTTCCTTCCCTGTCTCCCTCCCTCGCTTCCCCCCTTCCCCCCTCCCCTCTCCTCCCCTCCCCTTAGAGCACATGGGAGCACCATACTGGGAGGCAGAGGGGCAGAGAGAGAGGGAGAGAGAGAATCCCAAGCAGGCCCCTCGCCTAGCACTGGGCCCATGTGGGCTTCATCTCACGATCCTGAGATCATGGCCTGAGCCAAAATCAAGAGTTGGACACTTAACCACCCAGGTGCCCCTAAACTCATGGCTTTCTGACTTCCGATTCTACACTCAGAAAATGGGAAACTGCACTTGTACCTCCTCCAGTGTACCAGAACAGGTATCCCAACTGGATAGCTGCTTTTGAAAGGCTGTCAGTCCCTGAGACTTAAAAAGCATTAAGGTTTTCATTAGGAAATTTTTGAAAATCAGAGAAGGGAAAGAAAGCATGCATAATATTGCTGGCCTTACATAACTATGACTAGTATCTTCATGTATTTGCTTTCAGGCTTTTTTTGGCATATGAATATATTTCCTTATAGTATGTATATTCTTTAGTATCTTGATATTTTAAATATAAGTAGAATTTTCATGCTCCTCTCCAGATTTTAATGACTCTTGAGTGATAACGTACGACTTCTAGCAGTTTGGGAGAAGGCTAGCAAATGAGTGAATGAGTTGAGTGAGTGGTTGCTTCTGTGTATGGAATATTACATGTTTGTACGCTTGTCACTTTTGTTTTTTCTGTGTTCAGAGAGGATGACCATTGTCTTCGTTTAAATTTTGTAGAACATTTCAAACAGTACCATGAACGAAGAACATACTCTCCCAAGTCAAGTATGTTTTACCTGTCTTTCCAGGTCTTGCTCAAATCCACACCGCCTTTAAGCCTTTCTAGATTTCCAAGCCCATACTGATCTTGCCCTAGTCTAGTCTTCTCCAGCACTTTCTGGCTGTACCTTACATTTGACATTCACCATGCTCTCCCTCTGCTAGTTACAATGTTTTTTGTCTTGTTTTCTTATACCTTTCTTAAAGGAAAGGATATCCACGATAGCTAAGCCAGTGTTTTTTCATGATGTCACTTTTGTTTTTTAGCATTTTGGTTTTCAAACCAAATTGCTATTAATTAATCAGTGTCTCTAACATACTAACTTTAAACTTTCTGGTGTGTCTTTCTATGCCTGTAGGTTCCTATCACTGTAATCATGCCAGAAATGACAGAGAATGAGACTCCTACCAAAAAACAGCACAGGTATGTAGCCCTGGTCCAAAAATAATTTAATTTGGGCAGATAAGCAGAATTAGTCCCTACTTTGCTAAATAGGTAGTCCTCAGGGAACTTTCATTTCAGTGGTTGGAAAACCATTACTCTTCAGAAATATGTGTGGATAAATAAATACAGATGTACAGAAAGGAGTATAGAGTTAAAATTTACCTGTCCTCCTTATTTTATTAACAATGTAACGAGTAAATGATAATCAGTAATTAAAATTGTATAATACTAAATCTATGTTAAATGTTTACTTTCTCCTGAAATTTTTACTTGTGCACAGTATTAACAGTCTTTGTAGATCGTAAGTTGATTTAGGCTGAAGTCAATTTGAATAGATATTTTGTAAAATTACAATTTTGTGACATTACAATATGCACATCAGTACAGTTATTACTTCTGGTTCTTTGTATAAGCCTCCTTCTGAATTTCTAGCACTTTGGGCAGTGTTTCTGCTTAGAATTGCATGCCCGGTGCTTTCATTAATATTAAAATCCCCTTCTCTTTCCTTACCAAATAACTATTAGAGAATGCTAATGTTTGTACATAAATGGGAAAATCAGTGGTTTTAGGAGATTAGCTTTTAGGTACACAAATGCAAAAGATGGCTCAAATGCCAATTGTCTGTGCATGGGTGCTGGTGGCTGCTGTGCTTTTCACCCTGGGGATTCGAAGTTTCCTCTCTCCTGTTGCTGGTATCCCTCACTGGTGTTCACAACACTGCTTCCTGGGCACCAGGGCAAACATCAGAAGTCACCTACTCGGCATATCACTTTGAGAATTGTCTAGCTCTTTAATTACATTTTTCAAATAGTTAAGGTTTTTTCAGTGGTTGATTTACTTCCTAGCCAATGACTTCTGGATATGGAAGAATAGAATTGTAGTTATTTCTAGAAATTGTAGATGCTAAATTTATACTGATGTATCTGCAGTTAGGTTTTCATACCATAATATATATTAAGAAAATGTTTTTTCAGATGGTTTCTTGCTGATACAACAAATATAAATTCATAAAATTTATTTTTATAGTTCTCAAATTATAAAGTGGTAAGAATGTTTTCCCATTATTTTCATGTTCCTGTTATCTGCACTTTTTGTTTCAGAAAGAAAAACCGGGAGACACATAATGCAGGTTAGAAACAACAATTTCAATTTTACTTGTTAGCACTTTTTGCATTCAAAATGAAATTATACTGTAGTTGATTGTAAGTTATGTTATAAGCATAGCATCATTGTTCATTATGTTTTAGGAAAGTGTTCCTTATTACTTTTTAAAATATTTTATTTCTTGGAGAGAGAGAGAGAGAGAGAGAGAGCATGAGTGAGGGGGAGGGGCAGAGGGAGAAGCAGACTCCCTGCTGAGCAGGGAGCCCTATATGGGGCTCAATCCCAAGACCCCAAGATAATGACCTGAGCTGAAGGCAGATGCTCAACTTACTGAGCCACCCAGGCACCTCTGTTCCTTACTTTTTTGTTCCTTTATTGTTTAATTGACAAAACGCCCCTCGAGTCTCATGACGATGGTTTGCTTGTCATCTTCTGATTTATTGTCTGTTTAGATAATTTAAGGATTAATATGTCCCTGAACTAGTGGTTTAAGTGATTTCACTCACTGAGGAAGTCCAGCTCTACCTCTCCCAAATGGAATAAAGAGTATGTGTCTTTGCAGAAATTCCAGAGGGGACTGGCTACCTAGAGGAGTAGGGAAGAGATGAGCAGCAGGCTGCAGATCTTAAAGGTCCTTGAAATGTGAATAGCTTAAATGAAGTTGTGGAGTCCTCAATTATAGGAAAATTATGTAGAAAATACATATATCAAATTTCTAGGCCAAAGTTGGATAAACATTTATAGAAGGAATTGTGTGTACTTTTACAATTTGGTACATTTTATAACATTTTATTTTTCAGGGACTACAGTCCAGATCTCAAACAAAATATTTTAAAAGTTATTATCTATTACTCTATAAACGATATCTTCCCTTCCTTAAGGAAAGGACACTGGGGGAATTTTTGTCTATGGAAAGAGGTGGTGAACACTGGTGGAATATTGCTGCTCTCCAAAATGGGAATTTCCTGCCTTTGAATTCCCCTTTATCACTGGGGGTGAAGAGTCTTAATGTTGTTGGGTTTTTTTTTCCACCTCCACCCATTTAAAAATCACTCTTAGATAAGAACAAATACTATTGTTAGAGAATTCAGAAGAAACGTGAGTTATACTTTATTCCTTTATGTTCTTTGGCCAAATGAATTAAATCTAATCTTTTTTTGGCCATAGGAACTAAATATTTTTATTTGAATCAACTTACATGGTGTCATAAATGTGTCCTGATAGTAATTTATTTTGAGAGAGTAATTAGATGTCATTGAAAAGAAGTCTTTCCTGCCAGACTATGAAGCAAAAAGTCTTTATTCTACAAAACAAGACCTGCTTGTGGTCAATCTGAAAGATCATCCTGTTAGAAGTACTGGAGTCTTGTTAGAAAGGAAGGTTTCAGAAACCTGACAGGAAATAGCCAAGACTAATGTTTCTACTTACAGTGTCTTGTTGAAATTATTTAGATCATCTTATACCCTCTTGACCCTTCCATATGATCTTTATAATAAAGTTGTAGCACGTAAGCCTGGAATATTTCTCAGTTAATTTGATTGAGATATTGTCAGTTGCACAATTTCTTAGATGGGAGAAGTCCTATGTGGCCAAAGTGAATAGACCAGACTCCGTAGAAATTTTAAGTCATAACTAATGGCTGTTCTATTCGAAAAATGCCTTCTAGACATCCTTAGAGGTGTTTTAAGGTTCTGTAATCTAAATAGGTCTCATTTGCCCATATGAAAAGGCAGCTGTTTAGTAACTTAGCTTGTTAGTGGGTTCTTAAATTTTAGTTATCACTAAAATCTCTAGTAATTACTTGAAACCATAATAATGGCCTTAACAGTGATGTAATGTTAGCAACTTCTGTTTATAATTTGAATTTGATTATTATAGATCACATTTTAAAAATGTTAATAAGAGTATTACTTAGATCAGTTCCTATAATACTAGACTTAAAATACGACATTCTTAGAAATCTAATTGTAGTTCTTTGTCTTCAGTAGATACTGTTTGATAAAATTTTGTTAGGGATTTCTTTACCTAAAATTTCTTTACCCAGGGAGAATAACAGACTTTGGCAGTGGTACCATAAGGTTTGATAAATGGATTTCCCCCCTATCTAGTGGAGAGGCATAGGAAGAAGAAAATCAACGCCGGAATAAACAGAATAGGAGAGCTGATCCCGTGCTCCCCTGCCCTGAAGCAGGTAAGACGCCCACTCCTGTTTCCATTCGTCACTTGTGAACAGACAATTCCTCGAGTTGTTTCCGTGCTCATGATTATTTTTGTTTCCTGTCGTTTATGGTACATAGTTAATTGCCTCATGGTTTTTCATTTGCTTAATTTCCTATATATCTGTCTTTAGTTTTCCCCATCCTTACAGCAGCCTTCCAGTAGAGCATTCTGCATGATCAGATGGACCACATAATTTCCAGATCTTTAAGACCTTGAATTATTCAGTCCCATGATTACATTTTTTTATGTGCTATTGCATTTACCAGGCATTTCTTTTATTTTTTGTCAATCATATTTTGTCTTTAAATTCTTACCTAGAATCTTCCAAATATCTCTGCTTTGTTCTCCGTGCCCTGTCAACCTCCAATGGTACATAAATCTCAGTTTATTAAAGGGGACAGTTTTCCTTCACGAAGATAGCTTTTTGTTTCCTCTGATAATGAGGAAAACAAAACAAACTAAAACAAAATGGAAACAATATGAAAGGCATAAAAAAGTTTGAAAAGTAAATTGACATGCTACTTCTAAGTTATAGCTACTGTTAACAAATGTTGTTATGCATATCTTCAGACATTGCTTTATGATTAGATAGATAGATAGATAGATATAGACATCGAGTGCTGTTTTATAACCTGCCTTGTCATTTTCACTCATCAGTGTATGGTAGACTTTTAGTCAGGGATACCTTTCCTCATATGATCACCTTTCTTTTTCATGGTTATATAGTGTTTCATTATAATGGGATTTCATAATTTGTGTTAGCCTTTTTTGCTTAATTTTTAATTAAATTAATATATGTGAAAATTAATGTATAAACATAACAAATAGCACTAAAAAGCTTAAAACAACAATATTAGTCTCTGGCCTGCTTGTTTCCCAAGTCCAATACAACAACTTAAAGGCATCCATTTTCAACTGTTTCTTCTGGAGTATACCTTTATATTTTGAAATAATAAGCTTATATTACTATATCTTAATTTTTCTATTTTAGATTTTATCTATTGACTTATTATTCTTTTCCCTTGTCTTTGCCTTGTCTAATCCTCCCAATGTAATTCTGCCCCAACTTTTGATTAAATTAATATTCAGTTTTTTGTTTTTTAGACTGAAAATATTGTTTATGGTAGGAAGGAGTACTATTATTATGTTTTGTCCTATATGTAACTTTTGTGTTTTTTGGGTTAGTAATTGCCTTGTTTTTCACTTGCTTAACTGTTTATATACCTATCTTGTTATTTATTTATTTAAATTTTTTTAAATTTATTTTTTATTTTTAAGTAAGCTCTGTACCCAACATGGGGCTTGAACTCACAACCCTGAGATTAAGAGTCCCATGCTCTACTGACTGAGCCACCTAGGCACCTCTCTCTGTACCTGTCTTTAACTCTTTCCACACTTTCAACAGTCTCTTTAGAGTTTCTACATAGTCAAGTGTACCACATAATTTCCATTTTCTCTTTTTCCTTTGAGACTTTACTTCTGGAACCTTCTGCCCTTCTTCAGTCTCAATTGATTGGTCTTTTCCAACTCTTCTCTTTTTAATTTCAGCTCTCATACTTTTAATTTTAGAAATCTGATTGTAGTTATTTGTCTTCAATAGATACCGTTTGATAAAATTTTGTTAGGGATTTCTTTACCTAAAATTTCTTTACCCAGAGAGAATAACAGACTTTGGCAGTGGTACCATAAGGTTTGATAAATGGATTTTCGAGAGTCTTTTTCTTATTCTCTTTGTTCTTTTTCATATCACATGTTTGGTTCATGAATACAATATCATGTCATCTCTGAGGATGTTATATAGGTTTTAAAAATTTCTTTTTCTTCTTGTTTTGTTTCTTCTGATTTTCTTTTTTTCCCCTTTGTTTTGATGTTTTGTCTTTCATTTTGGAGACTCTCCTTAAATGTTTAGTGATACTTAGCTGTGTTCTCATATTTGAGAATGAGGCATTAAAAAGCCGATTGAATAGGCTTGACTTTTGGTGCCCTAACTGTTGAGTGATTAGGTGGTAAGCTAGTGTTACTGTTTTTGTAGCACTTCAAAATGTCAATGTTGGTAGCTTGTTTAATTTTGGGCATAGTATTAACTTTTATTTTCCAGACAAGAATCCTTCAGCCCCCTATCTACAAATGGGAAGGCTGGGAAGAGGAGTATAAGGCTGATTGCCATATTCTGGGAGCTGGGTTGGGGAAAGGGTGCTGGAGAGTCTCAGGTTTTAGGAGGCAGAATTTTATTTTACCTTCCTGTCTTCACTGAGTTGCCTCATCTTGTCCACTTCTGTGCCAACCATCCCTGAGGCCAAAATTATCTGTTTCAAATTTCACAGAAAATAAACTTGTCTCCTGCAGTTGGGGCAGGAAGGGGAAGTCATCCAGCTGCGTAGGATGTGTTTGTGTGGGGGAGGGGGTTAATTTTTATTTCTGCCTAAGAAGAGTCCACCAGTCCCCTCAGTTTAACCCCATACCTCACCCCACCTTTTGTGGTAGCTGGAGCTTCCCAGTCCTGAACCTCCCCAGGCTTTCAGAGGGCCAGATCAGTTTGCTTGCTTCTCAAGACTACCTCCCTTGGCAAGATCTGACACTTCAGTTTCTTTTCATTCTCTTCTACGGGATGGTACTTAGTCTTACCTAAGTGTGTTTTTTCATTTGTGTGTGTGTGTGTGTTTTAATGTACTTTGAGTTTCCTTAACATGATGGCAAATTTAAGGGCAGGAACTATGTTTTGTCTTCTGTTACGTCTTCTGATTGTTTTTCTTTCTCCACATCTCAATGTACAGTAGCTTCTCAGGAAATATTGGTGTTTGCCCAGTAATATCTTACTTTCCTGCTCTTGGCTGTCATTCCTACAAGTTTCTTGGAAAGGAAACCATAGTCATTTCACTTCCTTGGTGTCCTAGAATGTGCAATGAAAGTCAGTATTTGGCTCCCAGAAGCCAAGTAGATTAAGATTTTCTTCACTATTGCTACATGTCCTCAGCCCCATCTGCAGTAGAGAGGCAGTAGATGGGCATTATCAGGTTCTGCCTTTGTCTCAACTCTTGCTTTATGAAAGGACAGTATTTATTTTTTCTCTGTAAAATGTTTCCTAGATTATATTGGGTCTCTGTTGGGACTCAGTCTAAGAAACCCAGAATTGTAACTTTGTGAACCAAAGCCCTAAATCACTGATTCCTACCTGAAAAGAGCTATCTGATAAAGTACTGGGGATATTTAATAATATACATACTGGAATAGAAATTAAACATTCACTGTAACATTTTTAATAGCTGAAAAATAAAAAAAACAAATGCCTCTTATACAGCTTAAAAGTTGTCAGTAATGGACTCAAAAATAAAATAAATTCAGCCTTTACAAAGTATAACATAGATATCTAAACTCTATAGGGGAAATATCTCCAAGATATATTTTTAAATAAGAACAATGTAGCATACTATTTATAGTATCCTTCTATCTGTCTTTTGTTTTTTGTTTTTTTAAAGATAGATAAATAGATCCACGTATCAGCCTAGAATATTTCTGGAAGGATATATAAGTAGCTTTATGGCAGTTGCCTCTGGAATAGGGTGTAGAGAACTAAAGCCAAAAGGAATGTCACTTATTGTGTTTTATTTTTAACAGTTGTTCATAGAGTAAAGAATAATATTTAAGTCTAAAATCTTTACATGGCCTTGAAAGCCCTCTCTGGCCTCTTCCTCCTACCACTCTTCCACTATATACTTTACTCTAGTTCCACTCACCTCACCATGGTTCCTCCAATGTGCGAACACCGCCCTGCTTGAGGGCCTTTGCCCTTGCTGATCCTAATACCTGGACGCTCTTCCTCCAGATATCCACAGGGCATACTTCCTTGTCCTTCCTTCTGGTTTTTGCTTTGTCTTACAAGGGGGGCCCTCTCCAACCTCCCCATGCAAAATAGATTATAGTACAGTGTCTTAGTTTGGACTCTTACAAGAAAAATAACGTGGTTTAAACAACAGAAATTTATTTCTCACAGTTCTGGAGGCTGCGAAGTCTAAGCATACATCAGTTCCTGGTGTATGCTCTTTTCCTGGTTGTGTCCTCACATGACAGACAGCGCGATCACCTCTCTCATGTCTTTTCTTCTAAGGGCACTGATCTCATTCATGAGGGATCTACCCTCATGACCTAATTACCTCCCAAAGGCCCACCTGCAAATACCATCATATGCGGGATCAGGGTTTCAACATGGATTACAGGGGGACAAAAACATATATATATAATGTATATTCCTAAAGGTCAGGAATTTTGTCTGTTTTGTTTATTATATCCCTAGTGCCTAGAACAGGGCCTGACACATAGTAGATGCTCAATAAATACTTAGTAAGTGAAAAGTGAACAGTAGAAGCATTTCAATATGGTGCCTGTTTTAATTTTGAAAAGATACATGTCACATATATGTGATAAAACCAAAGCTTTACATTTCTTTCTGCAAGTTCTTACTCTTCAGTGAAACTTTTAAATGGTTAATTCTCTTTGGCAGAGCAAGAATATGATCCTGGACCAAGCCTTTAAATATATAACAGAATTGAAAAGGCAAAATGATGAACTCCTGCTTAATGGAGGAAACAATGAACAAGGTAAAGATTTTAAGATTCTTACTTTTTATTGTTTTTTCAGTGTTCAGGTCTTTGTGTCACAGGACAACTTACATGAGGATACAGAAGGCTTTTTGGACCAGAAACTTTATTAAGATTGTGCATTCAGTGGGTCTGAAAGAATAGTGTTGCAAAATAAATTCATCTTCGTTTACCTACCCCCCCACCCCCACCCCTCCGTGAGCAACTCTAATCTTTCAGGCATACAGAATTTTGATTTTGGACTCTTGTGTACTTCATGTTTGCTTAACTCATGAGACAAATAATGCTGGATCTCTTTTATTCCACTTTGATCTTCCAGCTAGAGGATATAGGGGAGAGTCCTGCTCAGTGTAACTTAAAAATAAAATAAAGATATGCCTGGGCCAAGACTTAACTGTGAATTAACTGAAAAGGTCAAAACATTCCGTTCATAATTGTTTACATTGCATGTAATGTGTGTATCAGACTGCCTGGTCATTTAGTGAAATTTGATTTTTATTATTCATTACCTTTTTAGATAATTACGTTGTGAAAAAATTTTAAGTTTTTTATAACAGCTGAAAAGAAAAATACGCCAGACAAATGTAAAGCTCAGAGTAGTAGGCAGTTTGAATTGTTCTTTATTTATGGCTCCACAACAGCAGAGAAAGAATTTCCTGTGACAACTCAATAGGTCACCTTAAAAGGAGAGGAACAAAGGTAGAATATGCTGAGGTGGGGGCAGTGTTGGACTGCGTTTATTGTATATCTCGAAGCGTTCTGAATTCTCTTCGCTTACTTTAAGTTAGATGACAGCTTACCCCCTCACCCAAGGCAGCTGTCTTTTACCATCCAGGCCTTGTTTTATGATGCTGGTAGATAGGTAGTTTCATAATACATGTTTGGTAACCGTTCTGAGGCACCCCACAGTAGGGGTGTTAAGGCTAGAATGATGTGTGGACTTTCTGAGGAGAGCTCCTTTGGTTTCACAGCCTAGAAGCTGAGGCAGTCAAGTTCCCTTAGGGAAAAGGGAACCTGTTAGAAAAATACCAGTTGCCTGGGGCTCAGGAAAAGCTGAGCAGATGGGCCAGGGCTCGAGGCAGCTTAAGTCTGACTACCATCCTTTCTTTGGTTCTTTTTGGTGCATCTGTTCTCTTTTCTTCCCCCAGCAGCTTCCCCACGTACTCACTGTCCACGTGACAGGCTGGGCGGTGGTCTGAGTGGTGGCCTTGGGAGTCAGGCCCACCTGGGCTGAGTCTCCTCTTCACTTCCTCACTCAGTACCCGTGGCTGTTCACCTCACCTCGCCCAGTCTCAGTTTCCTTATCTGAAAATGAAGATAATTCTAGCATGTATGTGGTTGACTTTAGACAAATTTATGCGATTACTCCGAGCCTGTTTCTCACATCTCAAAATATTGATGACAATAGGTAGTTCCCATCTCATGGCTGTTATGAGGATTAAAAGAAATAATGCAGGTACACTGCTTAGAGTAAAGCGGGCATATAGTAAATGTTACCTGTTACTGCGGTCATCATCATCATTATTGTTATTAAATGAGATGATGAATGAAAAGTGCCAGGCATGTAGTAAGTGTGTAGTTAAGTGAGAACAGTCGTCATCATTATTTGGTCCATTATAATTGTCCGTTAGTTTCTGATGTCCCTGGCACGTTGGCATCTTTCTTCTGTGTCTCTTAGTTTAAATGTCTGAGAGGAATAATCTGCTAGTCTCAGCTCATCCTCGTCATAGCAGAACTTTTTATTTCAGGTCCCCTCATAGGGCATTGGCTTTGAAGATTAGCTGCCCTTGGTGGAGGGAGAGGGGGAGAGTATCTACCACTGTGGCAAGACAGGTAGGATGTGTAGGGTCACAGAGCCACAATACCAGCACCCAAGGCTGCCCCCGTCGTAGGATCTGTGGGTGAACTTCTCCCCCTTCGGAAAGAGTAGGGGTGTGACAGTAGTGTATATGCCTTGGCCCTACTGAGGAAAATTCAAGTTCCGTTATTGATGCTTTCTTTGGTGCTCTACTACTTTACACATTTTACTTGGGCTCTGTTGTTTCAAAGAATAAAATAGAAGGGAGTTTATTTATTTTATTTTTTAAAGATTTTATTTATTTGACAGAGGGAGAGAGGGAGAGCACAAGCAGGTGGAGGGGCAGAGGGAGAGAGAGAAGCAGACTCCCTGCTGAGCAGGGAGCCCGACGTGGGACTTGATCCCCGGGCCCCTGGGATCATGACCTGAGCTGAAGGCAGCCGCTTAACCCACTGAGCCACCCAGGTGCCCCTAGAAGGGAGTTTAAAGCCATTTGTAAAAGAGACTATCTATTACCACCACAAGTAATGTTCGCTGTTACAGCATTTAAATGCTATTTTATTGATATTCAGTGTTATTTTCCTAGCATGTTACCATGATATCAGTATGTCTTCCCTTCTTTTACCTTTTTAGCTGCCCTGTTGGGAATTTTTGAATTGGGAATTTTGAAATTTCTACATTGTGAGTAATTTCTGACCTTTGGGTTGTTGACCCTTAACGATACATTCTTTTTTTTTTTTAATTTAATTTTATTATGTTAGCATACAGTACATCATTAGTTTTTTTTTAAATATTTTTATTTTTTTATTTTTATTTATTTATTTGAGAGAGAGAGAATGAGAGATAGCACGAGAGGGAAGAGGGTCAGAGGGAGAAGCAGACTCCCTGCTGAGCAGGGAGCCCGATGTGGGACTCGATCCCGGGACTCCAGGATCATGACCTGAGCTGAAGGCAGTCACTTAACCAACTGAGCCACCCAGGCGCCCGCATCATTGGTTTTTGATGTAGTGATCCACGCTTCGTTGTTTTCATATAACATCCAGTGCTCCATTCTTTAAAAAGGATTCAATAGAGGCTTGATACACCACTGTAAAAAGGAGAAAGAATTTGCTTTAGAAAAGAACTGAAGATTCTCAGTTGAGGTATTTAGAAATACTAGAATTATAATGCAGTAGTTAGCACACAGCTTTTTCTTAAGTTACCATAAATACTGACATTAACAGGTAATTGTTTCATTTCTATTTTTAATATTGTAGCTGAAGAAATTAAAAAGCTACGTAAACAACTGGAAGAAATTCAAAAAGAAAATGGCCGATATATTGAGTTACTGAAAGCAAATGACATATGCCTATATGATGACCCCACAATCCACTGGAAAGGAAATCTTAAAAACTCAAAGGTCTCTGTTGTTATTCCCAGTGATCAGGTTCAAAAAAATATCATTGTTTATTCCAATGGGAGTCAGCCTGGTGGACATAGCCAGGGAACAGCTGTTCAGGGGATAACCTTTAATGTTGGTCATAATTTACAAAAGCAAACTGCCAATGTGGTACCAGTACAGAGGGCTTGCAATCTGGTGACTCCTGTGTCTATTTCTGGAGTTTACCCTCCTGAAAACAAGCCATGGCATCCGACCACAGTTTCTGCACTGGCTGCCAACCAGCCTGTTCCTCTTTGTCTTCCTGCTACCATTTCTGCTCACAACATTCTCGAGCTTTCCACCTCCGAAAGCGAATCGAGTGTGCTTGGTGCCACCAGTGGCTCACTGATCGCTGTTCCCATTGGGCCTGAACCTCACCACCATCGGTCCTTGCACACATGTGTAAATGATCAAAATTCTCCTGAAAATAAGAATGGGCAAGAGAGCCCCAGATCAGTGAAGAAAACAGTCCCTGGTGCCACAAGCATCCCCACCACCTCCTCGGCGACTGCCGCAAACGTGCACCATGGAAGCAAGTCCTGCCCGAGCATACAGGATTTCAGAAATGATTTTCAAACCACCTTCGTCGTTTCAGTTACCACCACGGTCTGCTCCCAGCCTCCCAGGTCTGTAGGTGATTCTTGTCCAGCGAGCATTAGCAAGGGTGCAGACTTGGCAGGTGTTACCGCGGTGGTGGCCCCCTCTGCCCCCGGAGGAGGGAAGACCACCACTCCTGTAAGCACTCTCTCTGCAACCCCTTTGGACAGTAGTTGGACTCTTTCTTGTTCTTTGCCTTCTTCAAGTGTTAGCGCTTCAGATTTAAAAAACATGAATAGCCTTACCCGAATTTCCTCTGCTGGAAACACACAGACCACGTGGACTACTTTGCAACTGGCGGGAAATACTATTCAGCCCTTAACCCAGACACCTTCTTCTGCTGTGACTCCGGTAGTAAATGAGTCTGGTCCCAGCCCTACCACAACCAACCATGGTAGACACGTCGCTACAGGCGTCAACTTGAGTAATTCCTTTCCAGCAGATGGGCAGGCGGTTGAGCAAGTAGTTGTAACCTTGCCTTCGTGCCCGTCTTTACCTATGCAGCCACTGATTGCCCAACCACAGGTTAAATCTCAGCCTCCAAAAAATATCCTTCCTTTGAATTCAGCAATGCAGGTTATTCAGATGGCTCAGCCCGTTGGGTCGGCTGTGAATGCAGCGCCAGCTAATCAAAATGTTATCATTCTTCAGCCCCCCAGCACTACCCCTTGCCCAGCGGTGATGAGAGCAGAGGTTCCCAACCAAACAGTAGGTCAGCAGATAGTGATCATACAGGCAGCTAATCAGAACCCCTTGCCACTCCTCTCGGCTCCACCTCCTGGTTCTGTTCGACTCCCTGTCAATGGAGCCAATGCTCTAATAGGGTCTAATAATTCAGTGCAAAATGTTTCGACCCCACAGACTTTTGGAGGAAAGCATCTTGTCCATATATTACCAAGACCTTCATCTTTATCAACATCTAGTTCAACACAAACTTTTTCTGTTACCGTGTCAAACCAACAACAGCCTCAAACCATTTCTTTAAATGGACAGCTCTTTGCTTTGCAGCCTGTGATGTCCTCATCAGGAACTACAAATCAAACCCCTATGCAAATTATCCAACCCACCACCAGCGAAGATCCAAATACCAATGTTGCCCTGAATACGTTTGGAGCTTTGGCCAGCCTCAATCAAAGCATATCACAGATGGCTGGGCAAAGCTGTGTACAGTTGTCTATTAGCCAGCCTGCCAATCCTCCAACTGCTGCAAATAGTCAGACCGCCCCAGTTAACTGTGTTTCGTTAACAACAACTGTAGCATCTCCCATGACAACGGATAATTCAGCCACACTACCCAGTACTTACAATCTAGTAACTACTCCCTCAGTGAACACCGTAGCTTGTTTACCTAACGTGAAGTCAAAAAGGTTGAATAAGAAGCCAGGTGCCAAGAAACACTTAGCAGCTAACAAGTCAGCGTGCCCCCTGAATCCAGTCAGAGACGTGGGCAAGTTAGACTGCCCCAGCACTGAAGCCCCCGCAGAGCCATCGTGTAATGATGGACTGCTGGAAAGCCGCCCTGTTGTGTTACCATCTGTCGCCGTGTGCCAGGCAAATAGCATAAGTGTTTCTGGTTCACATTCTGTGGATGTTCTGAATTCTGAATCAGTGATACCTGAATCTGTACCCAGATCTGCGTCAGCAGAAGAGACTAGCTCACCCTCCCAGGCATCTGTAGCAAGTGAACATTTTGTCATGGCCCCAGCAAAATCCAAAGATTCTGCCCCCATTTTGCAACGAGAGACATCTCAGGATAAGCCACCAACTAGTTTGGCATTGTCAGATGCTGCCAAATCCTGCACTTCGGCCAACGTGTTGATTCCATCTCCAAGTGATCCCCACACTTTGGTTTCTCAGGTTTCTGGTCTGTCATCTACCGCTAGCACTGCAAATACCGACTGTGTTTCCGAGGTAGAGATCATTGCTGAACCTTGCCGGGTGGAGCAGGAGTCATCTGCTGCGATGCAAACGACAGGTCTCTTAAAGGGGCAAGGTTTGACTGCACTGCTCTCTGGTCTCGCTAAAGAGAAAGACCCTCAGAAACTGTCTCTTTCAGTCCAGGTGGACCATCCTGATTTTTCTTCGGAAAATTCTAAAATAGTTGATTCAGGTGTTGATTTACATCCCAAACGGGAGCTCTTATTGATGAACAGTGACGATAGAGACCCGGGGCCGCATCACTCCTGCGTCCCCGATCCGGAGGTTATCAGTGGTTCCTTGCTCGTCAGCAGGCAGGCCGACTCTCCCATGTCAACCAGCTCCGGTAGCAGTCGTAGTTTCTCGGTGGCATCCATGCTTCCTGAAACGGCTAGAGAGGATGTCACCAGCAGTACGACGACGAATACGTGTGACAGCTGTACCTTTGTGGAGCAAACAGACATTGTTGCTCTTGCGGCAAGAGCTATTTTTGACCAGGACAGCCTGGAAAAGGGAAGAGCTGGCAGCCAGGCTGACATGAGGGAAGTTACTTCGAAGCCTTCCGAAGGGCCACCTTTAGAGGGGGACCAGCCTTTCAAAGCACAGCTGTCTAAAGAGGGTGGTGCAGGACAGGCAGAAGCAACACCAAGTGAATTTAATTCTCAGGATTCGATTGAAGCCACAGTGGATCGGCCCCTTGGGAAACCAAGTTGCTCTGTAGGAATTAAAACATCAAATGCCTCTTTACAGGTTTCCACCTCTCAGCCACCGAGCATCACCAGTTTGAGTGTGAATAATCTTATCCACCAGAGCGGCATCAGCCATCCTCTGGTCAGCTGTGCCGGAATGTCCCAAGCTTCAGAGCAAACGACTGTTCCTGCCACGGTTAACCTGACGGTGGCATCTAGCTCCTATACCAGTCAGCCTCCTGGGGCGCCTCTGATGACTGAATATCCCCAGGAACAGCTGAATACCATTACTGGCACCATCCCAAATCCACAGATCCAAGAGCCACTCTTAAAGCCAAGTCAGGAAAGCCGCAAAGACTCTGCTAAGCGTGCTGTCCAAGATGATCTTCTGTTGTCTTCAGCTAAACGTCAAAAGCACTGTCCGCCAGCCCCGCTGAGGCTTGAGGCTATGTCCCTGATGAGCCGAACTCCAGATGGCATTTCTGATCAGGCTCAGATGATGGTCAGTCAGCTCCCTCCCGACTCTGCGAGCTCTGCAGTGCCTCTCAGCAACCCAGCACATGGAGACGGCCTTACGCGATTATTCCCAGCTAGTAACAATTTTGTGGCCTCTGCACTGAGGCCGACGGAAGTCCAGTGCACTTCTCAGAACTCGGTGGCTGAGCAGCAGCCAACACAGGCCAGTCAACATCTCCAGGCCCTGCAACAGCATGTCCCAGCCCAGGGGGTAGCCCACCTGCATAGTAACCACCTCTACTTAAAGCAGCAACACCAAGCAGGGCAGTTACGAGAGAGGCATCATTTATATCAGTTGCAGCATCACGTACCTCACGCTGAGAGCTCTGTCCTCTCTCAGCCCCATAACGTCCATCAGCAGAGGACTCTACAGCAGGAAGTTCAGATGCAGAAAAAGAGGAGTCTTGTGCAGGGCACTCAGGCCTCTCAGCTTTCCTTGCAACCGAAGCACCACGGAACTGAGCAGCCCCGCCCCAAGAGTGGTCAGCCACATCCCCACCATCAGCAGATGCAGCAGCAGATGCAGCAACACTTTGGAAGTTCCCAGCCGGAGAAGAGCTGTGAAAACCCTTCAACTAGCCGGAACCACCATAACCATCCCCAGAACCATCTCAGTCAAGATATGATGCACCAGCAGCCGGATGTTGGAAGCAGGCAGCAAGGTTCAGGGGTTTCTTCAGAACACGTATCTGGGCACAATCCGATGCAGAGGCTTTTGACATCGAGAGGCATAGAGCAGCAAATGGTGTCCCAGCCAACTATTGTGACTAGACCTTCAGACATGACGTGTACTCCACACAGGCCGGAGAGAAATAGAGTTTCAAGTTACTCTGCTGAGGCCCTCATTGGAAAGACATCTTCTAATTCAGAGCAGAGAATGGGCATATCGATTCAGGGTTCCAGAGTTTCGGATCAGCTCGAAATGAGAAGCTATCTTGATGTTCCCAGGAATAAGAGTTTAGCCATTCACAATATGCAGGGTCGCGTGGACCACCCTGTTGCCTCGGATATCCGCCTTTCTGACTGTCAGACATTTAAACCAAGTGGAGCCAGTCAGCAGCCCCCGAGTAATTTTGAAGTACAATCGTCAAGAAATAACGAAATAGGAAACCCTGTATCATCACTGAGGAGCATGCAGTCGCAGGCTTTTCGAGTTAGTCAAAACCCCGGTGCACCACCAGTCGACCGCCAAAAGAGGTTACCTTATCCACCAGTTCAGAGTATCCCAACAGGAAATGCCATCCCACCGAGGGACAGTGAAAATACATGCCACCAGAGTTTCATGCAGAGCTTACTTGCCCCTCACCTTGGTGATCAGGTCCTTGGAAGCCAGAGATCACTCTCAGAACATCAGAGGAACACACAGTGTGGTCCGTCCTCTGCAATTGAATATAATTGTCCCCCAACTCATGAAAGTGTCCATATTAGAAGAGAGAGTGAGAGTCAGAACAGGGAAAGCTGTGACATGTCCCTGGGTGCAATTAACACCAGGAACAGCACCTTGACTATTCCTTTCTCAAGTTCTTCTTCTTCAGGAGATATTCAAGGTCGAAACACAAGTCCCAATGTTTCTGTACAGAAGTCCAATCCCATGAGGATAACTGACAGTCATGGGACCAAGGGCCACATGAACCCTCCAGCCACAACCAACATGCATGGCGTTGCAAGGCCAGCTCTGCCCCATCCGTCCGTGTCTCACGGAAATGCTGAGCAAGGGCCTCCTGTACGTCCCACTAATTCTTCAGTTCCCCAGCGATCGAGGCATCCCTTGCAAGACAGCAGTGGTTCCAAAATTCGTCAGCCTGAAAGGAATCGTTCTGGAAACCAAAGACACAGTAATGTCTTTGACCCGAGTCTTCCCCATCTTCCTCTGTCTACTAGTGGTAGTATGATTCTTGGACGCCAGCAGCCCCCTACAGACAAGAGAGGAAGTATTGTTCGTTTCATGCCCGATAGCCCACAGGTACCTAATGATAATTCAGCGCCTGACCAGCATACACTATCACAAAATTTTGGTTTTCCTTTTATTCCCGAGGGTGGCATGAATCCACCGATAAATGCTAATACTTCTTTCATTCCACAGGTTACTCAGTCTAGTGCCACTCGAACGCCAGCCCTCATCCCTGTAGACCCCCAAAATACTCTACCCTCCTTCTATCCCCCGTACTCTCCTGCTCATCCTACACTGTCCAATGATATTTCCATCCCCTATTTTTCCAATCAGATGTTCTCAAATCCTAGCACTGAGAAAGTAAACAGCGGAAGCCTAAATAACCGATTTGGATCAATTCTGTCTCCTCCCAGACCTGTCGGTTTTGCTCAACCAAGTTTTCCTCTGCTCCCTGATATGCCGCCAATGCACATGACCAACTCTCACTTGTCCAACTTTAACATGACATCTTTGTTTCCAGAAATAGCTACAGCTCTTCCTGATGGCTCGGCAATGTCACCTTTGCTTACGATAGCAAACTCCTCTGCTTCTGACTCTTCCAAGCAGTCCTCAAACAGACCTGCCCACAACATAAGCCATATTTTAGGTCATGACTGCAGTTCAGCTGTTTAAATACTGATAGACTAAATGTACATGTATCAGCTGAGACTACAAATGTGTTTGTGTGTGCATGCACACGTAATGCACATGGAGCAGGAGATCGTGTGTGTGTGTGTGTGTGTGTGTGTGTGTTTGTATAATCAATTTCCAGTTACCTTCTGAATGTAGGGAAGTCACGCCAGAGATGATGCGAATCATGGGTTGTCAAAAACAAATTATCTTTCATTTTTAACTGCACAGTGTGCTTTTTAAATTTTCTGAGGAGCTAGATTTTCAAGTTTGATTTGTAATCTTATATTCCCTAAATGCTAATCAGCTGGAAGTTGGGGGAGATCCTTTTGGCATGTGCTGGGTAGTAGTAGGAAAGAACCTAGATTTTAAACTTGATTGTTGATCATTTATAAAGTAGATACTTGAGATAGTTGAATTGCTCTCCCAAAAATCCAGATACTTCGATACAATGTAGTGGCTCAGCACCAAATGCTTGGCCAATGTCAGCATCTAGAACAGTTTCTTACCCATGGCAGGTGTTGAATTAATATGGAATGAATGTCCATGGTTAAAGTCAAGCCGTTAGCAAATAAATGAGTTGTTTAATCAGCCTTCATTCCCAAGGTTTGGTTTAGGTAGAGGCTTCTTTCTTAATTATAACAATTCTTCAATTATCTGAACTTAATGTCTTGTTCTTCACATTAGAGAGCCATTTTATCTTTTAATTGTGCCAAGATCCTAGATGTAAAGGTCTTCCTTACTTAGCCTTAAAAATAGCAATCTAAAAAGCAAAGTACATAGACGTTCTCCATTTTGTGCTTGCATTTTGCATCAGGTCATAAGGATAAAAGCAGTTGTATTGCAGAGTTTGGCTTGTGTTCAGTTAAAGATTGTTGTTTCATCAATTGAATTTTGTTTTAGTGTTCTCTCTTCATTCTGTTCATTTGATCCTGAAATAATTTCTGTTATATTTGTTTAATCATTAGGGACTGCTCAGTAAATAGTGTGTTTGGAATCTACACAATTATTTGAGCCTTACTTTTTAAATATTTCTGAGCAGAGTCTTTAAGCTCTGTCAGTATTTTCACTTACTGATATTTATATTTAAAATATGGCATTATATGTTACATTATTACCCTTCATAGTAGAATTATAATGAGAAGATGAATTTGTATATGTGCTGCCGAAGCGAGCACATGAGAAGATGAATTTGTTCATGATTTTTCCTGATGGTGGATGTGAAATGGTGCTTCAGAAAATTGTCTTTGTGTATGTCCATGTGTGTATGTGTGTGTGTGTACACAGACATAGATTTTAAAGTTTAACTGGTCCTTTAAAAATTGGCTTGCCATCTGGAAATGGAAATTGTGACCTGAGACCCCCTGAAGTATTGGAAAACTTGATGTCAGGGTTTTTAAAAGCCCCTTCGAAGTTAATTATGTACACACACACATACACACACACACACACTAATATATTGAATTTTGAAAACTTAAAACCTATGAAAACAACCATATATACTCATATTCTCAAACCTATTATTTGTTGTTGTTATATTCTGCCAAATAGGGGATGGAGTGGGAGAGATACATATAAATGGTTCTGTCTGCTCTGTTAATAAAGTGAACCCAAGGACCAGCATTTTATTTTTTTTCCTCCTTGAAAATGCCTCCTCAGGCTGGGTCAGAGCAGTTAACTCTGGCGAATACCTCTTGTGAAGACTCGGTAAAAGGGTCGTGTGTGCCTCTTGAACTGTATTTACCAAACCTTCCTCCCTCTTCCTGCTGCCCACCGAAGCAGCCTCCTGGGGGCAAAAAAAAAAAAAAAAAAAAAAGGGAAACAAGAAATGCTTCTGTATTTTCTCCTTCAAAATGGTCATGGCGAAGAATAGGAATTACTTCAATAAGACAACAGATAAACACAGTACTTTAACACTTTTAATTGGGAAAAAAGTGAGATTCATGGCTTGTTTTTTAATTACCTTAACTGAGTTTTAAGTTGTAACATTCAGGTTTTTCTCTGTAGTTGAAAGGTCCAACCTGCCAATTTCAAGGATAGTGTTCGATGTGTTTGGCTCTTCTTCCCCCATCCTCCTCCCTCGCCCTGTCGCTCTCTGTCTTTCACATACACATACAAATGCACTCACGTACAGCGCAGCGGCCGTTGAGTTCTGGAGAACTGGGCACTGTTCGATGTAATTAGAACTACGGTAACAGGCTAAGGAGAAGATCAATTTGACCATTGCAGTAGAAAGGCCTCAAAGCCTGGTACTTTCAGCTGTTTCTCTATTGCATTGATTTTCTTATTCTGCTCAGCCCTGTTCAGAGATAGCGTTTACGTTTTTCAGAGCTTTCATTCCAAGCACATCTTACTTTGATCCCAAATGAGCCTCTACCCTTAAGGAAAGCTTATTTGACCATCTGAAGAAAGATGTGACCATCTGCACATAATTTGGCTCCTGCTTACATGTAGCTCTAATTATCTTACAGACCATGTGCGTATATATGTAATGATCATTGTATATATGGACTCAATTCTGAAAGTGTTCAGAGTACAGTAATCTTACTTGATTTAAAAGCATGAGTGTATGAAATTTACCAGCAGTATATTAAGTATTTGATAATCAGAGCTACATGATTTTGGGGAGGAAATTTATTATTTAATATCTACCAATCTCGATATAGTTTTTGGCAAAGGTGTGGCAGGAAACAGTCAATTTTGGTTATAGTAAATTTAATGTTATTCTTGGCTTGCTAATATTGGACTATAGAATGTAAGACCATTTCCACAAATAATTTTGTAATTTCTGGAAATACACAGACATACAAATGTATGAATTGCAAATGAGAGTCATTAATTAAATTATTTCTATCTCTTTTAGTGTTGTTGATCGCATAGAATCAATTAGAGAAAGTGGTTCATTCCTGTAAACATTTAACATGGTAATTTCTAATGAGGTGAAAAATTTCAGATTTCTCATCATGTTTACATTTTTAATGTATATCAGTCATGGATAAAAGAAATCAAGTTTGATGTCATTGGTTTTTTTGGTACATACCAATTGTTTGGGGATATTTTATGCCATTTCAGGAAATTTATTTTTTTTTTAATATTGTAAGACCTTTTGGAGGAACCAGGGATGGCACCTCTTTTCTAAGTAAGGTGTGATAGTCCACAGTGATCATGCTTTATAAAATTTAACATATTAGAACTGTGGAAAGAGAAGAATGAGGAGGGAATATTCTTTTGCAGCAATTTCCAGTTACATATCAGGGTGAACCGCAATAAAGATCAACTTTTAAAAATCAGCCTTTTTTTTTTGTTTTGTTTTCCTAATCAGCCTTCTTAAAATACAAAATTATTTAAACACTAAAGAAAATTCATTTGCTTTGCTCTTGCCTTCTAACATTATCCATGTCATGGAGAGGCTAAAATTTATACTCAAAAAAAAAATGTGGAAACACATTTTAATGGGAGTGAAGTTTTAAAAATTTGAGAAAGGGTGAAGACTTACTACTCAGCGTCTTCTTAGCTTTGTCCTTCGTCTGATCTGCAGGTACCTAGGCTCCTCTTTTCTTCAATCTGCTCTGTGTGAAACGGGTGGCAGGGAGCCTGCTCATTTCCTTAGGATGATTATTCCTCTTGAAACTTGAAGGTTTGAAGGTTTATTGGGCCCATCCATCTCTTGGATCATTGTGTGATAGTGAGTCGTGCTCCTAAATCAGCGATTCCCAATTCCTGGCTTTGGGAACCACTGTGTCTCCTGTTCTATCGAGGGGCAACAAGAATTTCTTGAAACAAAGTTAGTTCAGAATTAATTTAAAATATTGAATGTGCCATACAGTTCTGTTCCTTGTTTTGATGAACTTGCTTTCTTCCCATGGGGGAGTTTTAGAAAGTGCAGAGGTGGTACCAAGATCAGATGGCTTTGGATTGATATCTTAGGGTTCTGGAAATTGTAATTCTGTTGTCTGTATAAATTCTGCCTTTGCCTGGAGATAATTACCTATGGCTGTGTACATCCAGAAGGGCAGTAATCATAGCCAAATAAACTAGTGTGAAGTTAATCTGTGAGTGATGATTTTATAATACCTATATGCAAATTAAAGGCCAGAAATTCGTTTCTTCTTGAAGTATCTTTTTGGCTAAATGCTCCCAACAGAAAAGGGTTCTTTTTTTTTTTTTTTTTTTTTGACTTAACCATATTCTCTCTGCATTCTACATTTTCTGTGTGAGACTGACAGTGTTTTTACCAGAGTCTGTGGGGGACACCGAGTTTAGATTGAGGCAGTCCAGCATGAGGACCTTCTTGGACACAGAGCTTCTAGTTCTGACACATGCCTCTATTCTGGTACTGCACTTTACCTGAAACTGTGCCTCTGGTCCGAAGACCAGCCCTTGGAACATACTACCACCCACTCCTCTGTTGTATAGCAAAGGACCAGCCAGAAGGGTACGTGCCATGTAAAGAAACACCTAGAACACAAGAACAGCTGATGTTTCTCACTGTTGCCTTATCATTCTCTGAGCCATCTTCGATGCCGATCTTGTAAAAAATGTACTATTTAGAAGCAAAACTCCTTTTAAACTCTGAGCTTGTAGGTGGTGGTCATTCAGTATCGTTTCCATATTTGCACAAACCCTATCAACTGTAGGGCTCGGGTGCAGGCATGTTTTCAGATGCTTCCGAAACACGAGCCAACTTCGGTTGAAAGTATTGGCTATAATACTCAAATTGGTGTTATTTTGGATGGATAATCTGCATTATCTGTCACCAGAGATCTCATGAGACAGAGAACGCTTGTAATTTAACACTTTTAAAAGCGATGATCATAAGTTGTGGGGGTTTTTTGCGTTTTTTTTTTTTTTTTTTTTTTTTGGCTCAGTTGTGTGTACAGCTCTACACCATACCATGTTATAGGAACTTACAGAGTCTTCTCCGTCTCACTCCTTTACTTCTCTGGATCTCTTTATCCCCATCCCTTAAGTCTTAAAACCATTTTCATCTGTGGGGTCATTGAGGCACTGGACGTGACTATATTGGTAACCTTTGAGGGAGTTAAACTGTTGATCTTCCAAGAAGAAAGGGACCAGACAGTGTTGCTTAAAATGCTGCAGTTGTGTTACTGTGAAGAAAAGATTTGCTTCCATGTTCAGCAGGCCATATATATATATATATATATGTATATATATATATATATATATATTCATTTTGGTAAAAATAGGTGGGAAAAATCTGAGAACATAATTACCTTCACAAATTATTTATAGATACACTGGGTGAGAGGCTTACTGTAGGGCAGTCACCAGAAAAAAACTTAACTGTAGTCTTTCAATAGTGTAATATTTGTATCTATTCCCATGCCAGCAATGTCTGCTGTGTACTGTGTCCTATTACTGTAAATCACCTGGTTTATAATTCTAATGGGAACTAATTTGTTTCGTAATGGAATCCAGAGCAGATATGTATAATACGATCAGGATTGTCCTACAGTTGTATATAAGAATAGGTCCAGTTTATTTTGACATCTTTTTACAAATGCATTGTATTAGGGTGTGAATATTCTGAACCATGCTCTTGTTTAAAGTTTTGAAATTTTTATTGGTAAATGTAACATTTTAATGGTTGTAATAATTATTTGTATAGATATGAATATAGTATTTTATTTAAGAAAATAAACTTTGCATTTTTGCATTGTGAATTCTGTCTTTTCTGATCATTGCATGTGCTGCCTCAAACCCGGTATTAAAAATGACTTCTCTTGCATACCAGAGTTTTCTATTCAAGTAATCTTCCAGTTTTGCCAAAATGTCTGAAAATAATACCATGACACATTTCCCATGGGGAGTGTGTTCCTGATCAAAGAGTCAATCTCAAATAAATTATAATTATGCCAGTGCCATATTGTTCGAGCAAACTATACACCTCTGTACCTATTGTAAAAAGTAAAATTAGAATTTCAGATCTGGAAGAGTATGGAGAGATGATTCAGCTAGACTCCTCCTCACGTATTTATAGTGGAGGAAACTGAAGCACAGAACTTGGGAATAAGAAATGGGTCTTTTATTACAGCTACCCACATCAACTTGGTTACATGGGTTTTTTTGCAGATTTTATTTATTTGAGAGAGATAGAGCGCATGGGAGCAGGGG